CAACTCAGCGTTGTTTTTTTTCAGGTGTCTCCTAAGAGACTCATAGCTGCCACCAGTCCCATTTTGTTGGGATCGGTCGCATTGACCGGCAGCTGGCCATGCCAGATCGTAAAGATCTTCTTCGAGCTCGTGATTTGCTTGCTCAGCCCACCTGGGATTCTAGCAGGTGCATACGAGCTCGATCGTATGTTTGCACCTGGAAGCGGAAGTTCTCCACCTAAGGGAGGTGGGGAGGTCGCAACTGGGTGGAAACATACTGTCCTTGTCCTCTCAGGATTAAGTGTTGTGCTTCTTGCAAAGACTGATGTTCCTAGCCATCTTGCATTATGCGTCTCGCATCTTGGAGAAGGCGGAGGTGGCAACGGAGCACGCGGCTGGAATTCCCTTCTGTTCTATTAAGAGTAGGGATATTTTGGGCTCCGCCTGCCAACGTTCCCGCCACATTAGACTCGAGGTGTGTAGTGCCCAGAGGTGTGAATACAGGATACGTTACCGTGATAGGGGTGTACACCGAGCGACCAGTGGTCCCTAGTGACACATGGACAAGGGAGAAGTCCAAGGATGTCCGACGGGGAAGGCTACGTGCCGCAGTTGGTGACGTGTAACGCCTCTGCTTATTTTCGGCCCGCTGTCCATTCGATCTAGTCAGTTCTGAAATTTACGAAGCAAAATCAGCTCACTGTTGATCCATACGAACAGCGATATTGCGAGTAAAGCTTTCCTGCCTCCTGGTAAGGTCAATCAGGGAATTCAGGATGTTTCGAATCTTTGATGCATTTGTTGAATCAGGTAGGACCGGATCCGATACTGTGTTTAATCTGATAGATTCAGGTTGCAGCGTAATCGGGACATCTGTTCGAGGAGGAGAAGGGGGCAACAACCCATTTCCCCTCAAATCGATAGAGCTGGAGCCTGAGCTTCGAGCTGAACCATCGTGCTAGAAATCTGAACGGTGGGGACAGATCTCGGCGAGTTTGTTGGGGTTTGATCCATTTCGTCTTTCCAACAATCTGATATGAGATTACTGAGTAAGAAAATCTATAATCCCCCTCCTTCTAGCACCAAATTGTGGATCCGAAAATCCATAACCAAGAATTTGATATTAATGATAGGAAATTAAGGTCTGGATATTCGTATGAATCTTAGATAAATAAAGATTGAGATAAACGAGATGGATTTGTATTAGTATGATCCAAGAGTCAAGATTAATACAAAGAATTTATGAGATGGAAAAAGAAGAACAGCAGAGCGCAGCTTGCAGTATTTAGTTTTAGGTGATTTTTTAGGGTAAAAGTGATTGTGATTAGACTTGGCCTCGAAGAAAACTTCTTCTCTCTTTATATAGGCGATCAATCAAGTTCAACCGCTCCTATATTCGTATAGCACGTTCTCTTCATGATCCTGGATTTTTAGCATGCATTCCGAGATCTCCGGCTTGACTGATTCAACCTGTTATTTGCGAGCTCTTCTTCAGTGTGCAACTCGCAAGTAATTCCGTTAACTGTTTAATTCAGCCCAATCGCATAGTTCATCGACTGGGCCTTTGCTGGGTTTTATGGTAGTGTGCTTAATACGAGCCCATCACTATATTCCACGGGCTCCATCCATACTTTGTAGCTTGCAATATATTCTTCTAACTGTTGCTTCAGACCTATTCATCGGGCCTCTTTTGGACTGATACAACACCAACGTTTACTTTGATTATTTTATTAAATTAGTTGGTTTTTTTTTGTTAGGGCTTCAAATATGTTTTGAATCATAACAATGAAAAAAAAAAAAAATATCGGTCCATAAAACTAACCATCAACATTTACAGATAAGGATTCTATCGATCAGCTTTCCAACCCTAGTTCG